AAGCACATAGGCCTCAACCATGTCTTACCAAAATATGCCAATTCCTTCCTTCAATATATCATTCAGAAAAACCAAAATACCAAATACGGCAAAAAAAGAGACAGGTTAAAAACCCGGCGCATATTTCAACGTCAGAGGAAACTTTCACCAATTAAGCCGTTTCTCAAACAAAGAGACAACATCAATTTCTTAGCAGCCCCTGGCCACAATATCTCCCAAAACATAAAAACTTAACAGCCCTCCTGCTGCAATAACTNTCCGACCATGGAACTCAATCCGTCCTATAGCAATACATGCAAGGCACAACTCTCGAATACTAACAACGAGAAAACAAACAAATATCATGACCTTATCTCCGAAAGCCGCAGGTAAAACGCGGAATCGGAAACAAACAAGAAATTCTCATTTTCCGCAGGTAAAACGGGGAAAACGTTTACAAAATGAACAAAAACCAAACCCGAACGTCTGCTAGAACGCTGCTTGTACTGCGACGAGGATCATGGCATCCCAATCACATTCATCCCCCCCCATGATTTTCGACAGCAGTGCCAGCAAAACACACAAACAACATTACGAAAAATCGAACAGCAGCCAAAATAAATGCCGCCAAACATAAACATGACACAAACAGCCCAACCAAAAAGGTCTTAAAGGTTCATGACAAAGTTGCGGTGTACTGAAAACGCCTCCTTGGGCAGTGGTTTCGTAAGAAAGTCGGCGTGCTGCAAATGCGACGGGACATAAACGACCTTGAACTCCCCCCGGTCAACACGCTCCCGAATAAAATGGTGGCGGACGTCAATGTGCTTGGAGTTGGGGGTGGTGGCAGGGTTGTTGGCCAAATGAAGCGCCCCGACATTGTCCTCCTTGATCACAGTGCACCCCACATCCCCATCCGGAAAGATAAAACTCCAGAGATACCGCAAGAAAATCGCCTCCTTCATGCCATCGGCCATCGCAGCGTACTCAGCTTCCGTAGAAGACAGCGTGACGCTCTTCTGAGTCCGAGAGAAGAACGACACGCAGGACCCCGCACACATGACAACACCTCCCGACACAGATCGCCTGTCCGTCGCGTTGCTAGCGTAGTCCGAATCCACGTACATCTCCAAGCTAACACCACCTGCCGTACCCCGCAGAAATGTAATACCGTACGCACTCGTGCGTCTAATATACATCACAATGTGCAACGCAGCCTTCCAGTGCACGGACTTGGGCGCGTNATGCTTCCGTTGTGCAGGTGTGGCCAGTGTGGGGGGCCCGGTTGTTCACCTTGGCCGCCGAGTTCATGCTGGGCGCCTCTAACTGCTGCCAGAATACAATCCTAGAGAATGGAATCCCATGCGGAGAAGCACCTTGCTCTCTGATTGCCGTCGGTGAATTACGGTGCGGTCTGCCCAATGGTTGCTCAGTCTACTTCTTGGACGTGTGCGGTCGGCAGGTATGATTCGGAAGATTCTTCACAGAGTAAGGCCTGACCCCACCCACGCATACCGAGTTTGTTCCATTGTTGTTGTTGTTGTTGTCTTCACATTAAAAACCATCCCGGTCTCTCTATCC